CTGGCTCTGCCCTGTAGTATTGGAATGAGCAACCCCAATAGTGTGCACATTAATTAAACCTTCAATAGAGGTGGAAGGGAAGGAGCCTGGCGAGAGTCCAAATTGCTTTAATCCTTCCCAGGGAAGATGAGGAGTTAAGACTTTACCAATCTAGACTAAAAGAAAAAAAAAAAGAAAGAAGAAAACTCTAATCCTTCAAGACTCAAACTCCATAGATCTAATTGATTGACATCAATTATTTGTAATTTCACAGCACTGAATAATTTATTTTAAAATGACAGATGTTGAAAACATAGAGCTACACTGATCTACGTCAGGCAGAGAGTATATTCATGGCTATCGTGAACATCATGCCAAGACCAAGTTTTTGTTTTTGCTTTACACAATCTTTTGAATACCTTGCTTTAGTATTTAAAATAAATTTAGGAAAAGGGTAATTTTGAGCCAATGACTGAGACTGGATTATAAATCTTCATCCCATGAACATAGGCCATCACACTAAGCACTGAGCAGGAAGTGGCGAAATGGAACTAGTTGATTTGTGGTTTCTGGACCACAGCTACGTTAGTGGATAATTGAGTCTAGCCCCTATCTGCCAGGGCTCCAATATCTGCCTTGGGAAAATGAGATGACCAGTAGTGTCTGCCCCAGCCCACAGTTGGGAGCTTTCTGTGCCCTTTGCACTGTGCTTGCTATGGGGCACAGTTCCCAGTCCACATTTCTGTCAATTTTGACCTCACCCTCTACACTTCTGCCACAATAGTGGGACAGAATACCATGGCAGGGATCAAAGCTGCTTGCCTCCTGAGCCCAAGAAGCAAAGAGCTAAAGAAAGAGGCCCGGCAGTCTCTGCAAGGGCACACCACAGAACGCATAGCTTCCACTAAGCCCGTCTCTCTTTCTGTGGTGGGGGTGAGACAGGGGTTTTCTGTGTAACAGATCTGGCTCTCCTGGAAACTCACTTCATAGACCAGGGTGGCCTTGAACTCACAGAGATCTTCCTGCCTCCCAAGTGCTGGAATTAAAGGCATGTGTCATCACCACCCAGGCCCCCCCCCCCCCGCTCTTAAAGGTCCCAACAACAACAACAAACCTATCACTACTCCAGTAGCACCACTGGCTGGGGGTCAAGTCTTTAACATAAGCATCTCTGAGGAATATTTAAGATCCAAACTATAAGAAGTGAGGAAAAGTAACAATAAATAGAAGAAATAATTTCTATGATAAGGAGTCATAGGAAATCTACTCTCATTTTTCACATTATAGCTCCTTGAAACCACTTATAATACCTATGAAATCTCAATTTCAGCTTCTATTAAAACAATGAAGTTGAAAGGTTTTCTCAATGTGGTCTTTGTTACCAATTCATTTTAAAAATGCATGTGTCTTCATGAAGAATGAATTAACATAATATTCTAATTTCCTCACCAAAAGAACCTATATTACCCACCCTAGGCTATTAAAGTATTACATTTTTATTTGTTTTATCAACATACTTAGAGTTCTATAAATAATTTATAACTTCAAAATATAAGACTTTACCAACAGCCTGACATTTCCATCCTTGCCATTAATAAACACTCTTTTTCTCTCTAGTACGTTTAATCTGTTCTTTCTACTCCTAGAACAAATAAGCCACAAGCCTCATAACATTTCTGACAGTGTGGGGCAGATTCTAATGGAGCTGAACGTTTTCTGGTTTGCAGCATCACCTTTGTAAGGTACACATTTGTAATGAAGTTGGACTAGACAAACTCACTATGCTGCCACTAGTGTGAACTGAAGCGATAGAGTTAGGTACAGTCTGCAATTCTTGCTAAGGCCAGTAAAGGCCTAACATAGTGGAATATGCCTGGCATCTGCACACTGGGAAGCAGAAGCAGGAAAATTGGGAGTTCGATGTCAGCCTCAGCTACAGAGCAAGGTTGAGGCCCTGGGCTACATGTTTATTCTTGACTGTATTGTGTGTGTGTGTGTGTGTGTGTGTGTGTGTGTGTGTGTGTGTGTGT